CTCTGTGCCTGGTGTGATTGTCAGCAGGAGCATCACACAGAGTCCCATGTGAGTTGTTCATTTCTGGACATCTTAAACTAACACAAAGAAAGCTGGAATCAGATGAAAAAATTCTAGAAACAGCAAGCTTTGGTAATGAGAAGGGATGGATTTTGAAAACCAGAAAGGCTTCATCAATCTTGAGCTAAAAATTGTCAGGTAACACAGAAGACAATTAAATTATTCTCAGCCAGGCAGTTCCCACTCCAAAATGTGTGGTTTTACTTCTTGTTCTGTCCTTTGCCAACCATTTGGTATAGAGGCCTCAGTCTGTGTAGGAAGGAGAGTGGCTTGAGAGATTAACTAATTTTCAAATCCTGCTAATGGGATTCACATTGTATGGGCAAATGAGTATAATTTTCAGCTGAGGTTTTTAATTACACACTCTTGGTTTTAAAGGAACATTCTCATTTCTTTGTAATGTCCAGGGAAACTCAGTGTAGCTTGTTGAGGCCAAAGCTTATTTATATCAGAGCTGGCACTGGAACCCAAAGTCTGCTCACCCTGACTCTATGTGCCTGACAATTCTCTTAACTACTTAGAGTATCTATGAGAGCAAACATGCCCCAGTACAGCAGTATACAAAACCTGGAAGGCCTGCAGGGCCTTTCAATAACCTCTAGCGTGTGTGAATTCAGACAAGTGAACCTGTGATTACATCTTAGAACCCTGACACCATGATGTAAAAAGCTTAGCATCTGTGTTTACAGCTGTCCATATTCCGTAAGTATTATATGCCCTTGGCATTTAAAACATCATATGTTCTAAATTATTTTATATAGTTTCTAAACTTCTAAAATCTTTTCCCTAAAATGTGTCTAAGACTTGACTTCTTCATGTTAGTATCTTTTATTAAGGACTACAGACACTGATCATGTTGATGCCCCATGTATTACTACGGCTTTGTTTCCTAAAACCTGGGGTCCATATTTAAGACTGCAACAGAATCTTGCCTAGAATTTATAAATGTTGATATATTCTGAAGCATGATGCTTGCCATATATTTCCATAAGTGTGTTTTCACCAGTTGTTCTCATTTTCCAGAAAAGATCCTCTTTATCAAGATATTGAGAAATCTTCCTCAGACTTCATGAAACAGCACCAACCTACCTTTAAGTTGTTCTACATATTCACATCACATGCTGTAGTGGTTTTACCAAAGGAAATGCTAGGCCACCATTGCAACATTCCATTTGAAATCACAGAAACCTGAGTGAGTGGACAGAAGTACCTATGGACTGAAAGACTACATAAAAAACAAAATTGCTTTTCCCAAATGCAATACTTATTCTAAAATTTTTTTAAGAAAATTGAAAAGCTAATTATTAAAACTATATAAAATATGCCAAGAGCAGTGGAGCTAGTTGTGAAAAAGACCAAACTTGTAGCTCAGAAGCTGTCTATCTGCATTGTAAAAGCCTGTTAGATAAAGTGCCAGGACAAATACAAAAGGAAAAATCCATGGATAAATGGACAAAGCAAAGCCCAGAAACAAACTGACATATGCTGATGCTTAATTTTGTAAAATGGTAATCTGGAGTAACCAGAGGACAGTGTGATCAACATGTAAAAAGTACCAATAGCAGCCTATGCTTCAACCAATGAGTCATTTAGATTTTATTATAAATAAAGGTGTCATGACCAAGATAAGCTGAACTTTCTCAACCTTTATGTAAAAGGAAACATCCATAAATAAAATCATTGATAAAGCTAAAATCAGAAATTTCTTTTCAGCAGAAAACATGGTCTAAGAAACAAAAAATGTCAAGTTATGGGACTAGGAAATGTGTGATACTAAACAAAATTGTCAAAGGACTTATATCATGAACAGTTTTTCAAAATACACAGATCAATGGAGTGAAGATAGTTACACTAGAAGGCAGTGGACATGAAACTAAATAAACAACACTGTTAAATGTTGAGTTGTTGGACATGTATAAATGGATAATCAGTGAAGGGAAAATATATGTAGCTTTCTGACAAAGTTGAAAATAGATGCTTCTATATGTATTCATTGAAATACTGATGTCAAACTATTGAGGTAATACCACTCATGATTGTGTCAAGATCACCTTTCAATGTCCTGGGGGTCTGTAGTGATGACTCCTCTTTCAGTCAATACAGCTTCTCCCTAATCTGTCTCCATATTTCATAGCAAGTGCTCTAAGGTTTTCTTGAATGCTCCCTCTGTCTTCTTTGCTCTTGGGCTATCTTACATTCTTTCTTTAATACACAAACCCACATGACTTCAGCCTTCTCCAATATTCTTTTACTTCTGGTTCCCAAGGTCCTCAGAATCACAAAAGTTTCAGAAAATACAGTATTCCAATCATCTACAATGAAATATCTCTTATCTTTGCAGCACTTAAACTGAAATTTCAAATTACCTATCTTTTCAAACATACAAGTGTTTTATATTTTAGTTACTGAAAATGGATCTTTTCTTTTTTTACAATAAATTTCAACCACATTTTTCCTCCTTCCACACCTCTGATCTCCACCTCCCCTTTTCCTCAGGTCTACTCCCCCTCCATGTTATCTTCAGAAAAGAGCAGACCTCCAAGTCAAACACAATTAAACAAGATACAATAAGAAAAAATGAAACCCCACATATCAAAGCTGGATGAGGCAATCCAATAGGAGGAAAAGAGTCTCAATTGCAGGCAAAAGAGTCAGAGATGCCCCTGCTTCCATAGTTAGGGGTCTCACAAAAACATCAAGCTAATCACCATTACATACATGCGGAGGATCTATTGCAGACCCTTGCAGATCTTGTGCATGCCATTCTAGTCTCTGTGAGCTCATGTATGCCCTGATTTGTTAATTTTTTAGGCCATGGTCCCCTGATGTACACCATTCCCTCTGACTCCTACAATCTTCCCACAAGTTGTCCAGTGGTGGGACTGGGTTACATTCCTCCGAGTTGTTGCTGTGGATTTCCAAAAGAGATCCCTAAACAACCGAGGCAGGTGCTAGGACAGAAAGTCACTCTCTGAAAACTCACTGTGGGGTCCCATTCTGAGGACAGTATCCGTACAGTTCAGTGGACATAGGGAGGTCGAACTAGTGCCTGCATGGAGCCTTCTACCTTATATTCTAGCTTTTTTTTCTCACAAGAAGGTCCTCTGCTGGATGTGGAAAGAGAAACTTGGACACCAACCCAGCTAAAAAACCCTCAACATATAATCTGATCTGCCTTCAAGATGTGCATGGATAATGGTGGGACAGAACTTGTAGGATCAGCCAACCAATGTTTGGTGTACCTTGAGACTCACCCCATGAGAGGGAGTCCATGTCCTACACTACTTGGATGGCCAGAAACCAGAAACTGTATAGCCTAGAGACATAGGTTAGAACCAAACATAACTTCCCCCCATATCAATAAAATTATAAATTTTCTAATAAAACCAATGTTTGGAAAGAGCAAAAGGTACAAACTTTAGCCATAGAGTTCACAGGCAGATCTGATGAGGAAAGACTGTGAACATTTTAATGGAGTATCATTTTCTAAGGTAGAAAGACTGAGTGCTGGCCTTGAGAATAAAGAAAATAAAAGGACCTGAGACAAAGGCCTGCTTGGAAAATTTCAACATTTTATTTTCCAGGCTTTTCCTGTACAAAACCTTTCTGGCAAATCATTAAAAGGAGACTCTGAAATGCTTCATGCTTCAGCTGGCTTTGTTAAAGAGTAATTACTTGTGAAAGACAGATGAAATGTAACTATTAAGTCAACAAAATATAATGCTACCATTATAAAAAGTCTGCATTTAGAAAAGTAATTTTGTCTTATTTCCTATTGTACTGTAGGTTCATTAACATAATTCTAGAATATTTATTAAATATTTCTTTTTCTTTTATTACATTTCTGGCTTTGTCATACTAACTAAGAAATATTCCTAAACTGAGATGTTTCTTACAGAATTTCCAATATTTCTCCTTGTCAATACTTAGCAGTTTTGCACTTTCCATGTTCCTCATTCAGGATCCAGTCAATGAAGTCTTGAGGAAACTTCTGGAATTAAGCCAGAGTAGAAACTTAGTAATGATAAGTGACTCCCAAAATGGGAACAGGCACACAAGGGTTGTTACAAGGCTAGGAGCTGTGCATTGGTGGGAAAAAACAGAATTAAAGCATGAACTCAAAGTAATGATCCTGGTACAATAACATGGCACCTAATATCCCACGGGGGAAAGATATTAAGTGCTTTATATGACTGTATTGTCCATGATTAACAGTTTTGAATGTGAATGTTCTCCTGCAGCAACCTAGGCAATTTAACACTAGAATAATTTCAGACGAAAATCTCTGTGGCAAGCCTTGGCAAAGTGCCAAAAGTACTTTAGATTATATTGTATGGTAAAAGAGACTCCAGAGTAAACCTTAAAAATCCCAAGACTGAAATGGAAGATTTTGACTTTTTTAATTTGAAAAACAAAATGAATTTTTATATAATATTTGTTGGAGAGGAAAACTCTTCTATAAGTGTTTGAGATAAACCATGCATTAGTTATCAGTTATCCTAATAAACATCTATGAGATAAACCATAGATCCGTTAGCATAATAAACATTTGAATTCACTTTTTTTTTGGTTTTTCAAGACAGGGTTTTTTTGTGAGCTTTGGAGCCCATCCTGGCACATGCTCTGTAGACCAGGCTGGCCTCTAACTCACAGAGATCCACCTACCTCTACCTCCCGAGTGCTCTGATTAAAGGAGTGCACCACCAATGCCTGGCTTGAATTCACTTTTATAACACATGCATGAGGTTATTCATTCACATATTACAGAAGTATTTCTTTTATACCTAGCATAGGATTTGGGTTTAATGAGGTCAACAAATGAAAAAAGACTCATGAACTATATTTTATGACTTCAAGAATTTACAGTGACATGGGGTTCTTTACTAATATCCCTGAAAAATGATATTTAGGAAGGGACATAACTCTCATTAATTACCCACAGATTACGGTGTCCTGAGTTACTGTGGTTGGGTGTCTTCCTTTGCTCTTCACATGGTGGCAGGTAAAGTTCCAAATCTGTTTTACCGGGCCAGGTCCTCCCTAAAATGATGAAAGGCCATGTTCTTTACTGCTCCTAAAAGTCATGAAGCCTAAAAAGAAATAAACGAATATCCTTTAGTGGTATAGCCACTGGTAATGTGTCTTTGCTCAAGTAAGTATCGCCTACCCATACCCATGTAAGAAACCTACTTAAATGCAATGAGCCAGGAAAATTTAAAAGGACATACAAATAGGAGGTTGACATGATAGAGAAGAGAAAAGGTTTTATGGAAATGGGAGGGAGGAAACTGGAGGACAACGAGGGGAAGTCAGAAATATAATCAAAGTATGCAAACATACATATATGTGAAATTTATGAAATAATACATAGTAAGAAAATAAGAACTAAAATAACATTTGCTACTTTCAGTTTTGTTTTGTAGTTACATAATAACAAATAAATGTGATATTTTTCATAGTTATTTTTCTATTGCTGTAATAAAATGCTATGACTGAGTACATACGTGATTTGAGTTTTAGTAATGTTTCTTTTATGAATGTGGATGCATTTGTATTTGGGGCATAGATGTTCAGAAATGAAACTTCATTTTGGTGGATTTCTCCTGTGATGAGTATGAAATGACCTCCTTCATCTCTTTTGATTGATTTTATTTTAAAATCTAATTTGTTAGATATTAGGATTGCTACTCCCCCCTTGTTTCTTGGGCCCCAGATTGATGGCTCTGTGGAAAGCATGGGACTGAATCAGGGTGTCAGTTAGGAAGCCTAGGTAATCTATGGGGTCTTGGGTAGTATTTATCCCTGGTGTACAAATAGACTTTGAGTGCCCATCCCACAATGAGGGATTCTCTCTCAGCCTGGACTCTTGTGGGAGGGCCTAGGTCCTGCCCTGGATTAAATGACAGATTCCGGAGATCCACCATGGAGGGCCTTACCCTCCCTGGGGATCAGAGTGGAGATTGAGTGGAGGAACAGGGGCCTGGTGGTAAGGGCTGGGGAGGAGGGGAGGGAGAGGGAGCTGGGATTGACAAGTAAAACAAGCTTGTTTCTAACTTAAATAAAAAAATAAAGAAAAACTGCTATGATTGAGGCAACATATAAATGGAAGCACTTAATTTGGCTTCTAGTTTCAGAGGGTTAGGGTCCATAATGGCAGAGCAAATGTATGGCAGCAGTAACAGCTGAGAGCTTCAAGCAGCAGGCTAGGCAAGAACCCTGGGACGGACATAAGAGTTTTGAAATCTCAAACAGTGATACACACTCTCCAACATGGCCACACCGCTCCTCAGACTGCTTTATCAACTGGATGTCAGTCTCATTCAAACCATTACACTATTCTTTTCTTTATGCAATCATAGCTCAGGTGTCCTCCCTGGTTTCTTGGTGATTCATCGATGAGTTATGTGTTCTGGGTTCCCAGGTTTTAAACAGCACAAGGCAGATCCACTGACATATTTACTTGAGACAGGGTGAGAAAGAAAAGGAAGAGGGGAGTTTCTACTGGGGAGGGTCTTGAGCTCTGTTAGAGGTCATCCTATCCAGACAGTGATGAGGTCCTATGCAAGTCATACTGGCTCAATGAGGAAAGCACAGGGACCATGGGACCTGAATGTATCTGGGTAAGGGAAGAATCAGAACCCTGAGAAACACATGCAGGAAGATTGACAGGTCGCATCTGTCATAAGATTCCAAACTAACAGGAGCCATTAGACAAGCAATAGTCTCTCATTTGGAGATGATTAGTCAGCCCGGGATTCAGAAGAAATGACTCAAATAATAGATCATTAAGTCTGTTATGATTGTAGGAGGGGGATAAAAGTTGCAATCATGACTACATCTCAAGGCATTGGGATATGACAATATGAAATTCTAAGGAAAATCTATTTTTCATATTTTCTTTTGTCTTCAGCATGTTTTTTAAAATTGTTTGAGTGAGTTTTACTATTGTGGTTAATAGAATCATAAGAATAAGTAAAGAGAAAGAAAACAATGCCAAATTCCCAGAAATCATGGGAAGGTTAAATAAGGTGCCCAAACCAAGCTCTAGGCAGACACTGAAGTATCTAACAAAGGATTCATCCTGATAGGAAAGGATGGCCTGACTTTTCTGCCAGCCATTGGAGTATCTAAGTAAGGATTCATAGCGATTGGAGAGAATGGCTTTTTTGTCTGCCAACCACTGCACTGTCTGAGCCAAGATTTGTCCTCGCACAAGAGGCTGGATTGACTCACCTACTAGCCACTGCAGACTATACTGAACAAGTAAGTCTCTCTGGTCTTTCCAGGGCCAGAAAAGTAAATAAATGTCTACTTGATGTATACAAGCGAAAAGAAACCCCTCTTAACAAGAGTTATCAGGGAAGAAACTTCTCTGTTAAACTATCTAACCTGTTCACTGCTTAGATAATTGAACTTTTCATGTCACTTTTGAAAAGAAATCTGTTCCACTCACCATAAAGACGTTCATTAGATTACCATGAAATTCTATACTCATTCAATGATCAATGTGTGCTCACCTCTCACATATGATCTTTGAATATTTGGTGATTACACGTCACAGCATTGAGTTAAATCCCTTTAGATAAGGCACTCCTTCAAAAGGTACATTCCCAGTAGATATTCAACAGTATGTATTCTTCTTTAGCCCGTGATCAAAATACTGTTTGTATTAATTAAAAGAGAATTTTTCTCTCCTAGAATCTATGAAGTTTAAGGAGGTTATGGGTTACATTGATGGGTTAGAAATTAAGAGTGTTTGCTACTCTTGTAGAGGTTCAGAGTTTAAGTCTCAACACACACCAGGCAGCTCACAACCACCTGTAAGTCCAGTTATAGATGATCTAATTCCCTCAGGGACATCTGCTTTCATGTGCACACACATGTGCACATGGGTGCATGTGCACGCATATACACACACACACACACACACACACAAAATAAATCCTTGAAAAAATAAGGAAAGTAGGTGTTCATAAATATTGTTATCAGATGTTATCTGCAGAGTCACTAATGGAGACAGAGGGGAGAGTGACAGGACTCTACCAATGACAAGAACATTTATCTCATTTGTGCCATCTATGTAGTGACACACTTTCCAGGTAAGGACATGCTTGGAAGAAATAAATCTAGCAAGCACAACAAAATAAAGCAAGAGTTACTAAAATCGGATTTGTACAGCTACAGAAAATGCATACATTCTTGGACTTTAGGGACATACACTGAAGAAAATGAGCAAAAACATGAGAGAATCTTGAACAGGAAACACAGGGACTAGAATATGCACTGCACTTCCTTGGGGAATTGGTGTTACTCTGGGAGTTGCTCAAATATTGTGGCAAATGGAGTTGGGACTCTACAAATCCACCTAAGCAGAGTAGTTCTAACTCCCATGCTCTTGATCCTTCTGTTTTACTATTTCTTGAAAGACATATTTGGGGTATAGTGTATGGTAAGTACTGAGGTTTACCTTAATGTCTTTAACCAATTTATTTAGAAATCGTGTTTTGGAGCTGTTGCTATTGCCTTCTGTGACTGCTTCCTTTTGTCTTTGTTTCTATCTCCCTCCTTTTTCTCCACTGAAGGTTTATTCCATCTTATATGGGTCTCACATTGTTTTGAGAATGCCTATAACAGTACTGAAGTGAGTTCCAACTCTAGTAGTTCATACTTTATCCCAGTGTACTTTTCTGTGGTTCTTACTGCTTTAAACCTCACAATAGGCCAAAAGCAAGCACTTTGCAGAATCACTCAGAAGCACAAGTTAGCTCCCAACTGTTTGCACTCTAAAAATTAAACTATATCAAGACCTATGAAGCATGTCAAGCCATACTGCTTCTTAGAAACATTTTTTATTCCCTTGTGGAGGTAAGTAGCAAATTATCAGATATTTGAAGATTAATTCGTAGTCATCCCTATTTTCCAAATAATTGAGGAAATTATCCTATAGAACTATACAACTAAGAATGCATGTCATATCACTCACTCCCCATACATTTAATCATTCATTTTGCCTCACTACATATCATCTAGGTTATCTTTGGGAGTTTCTTAATGTTCTGCTTCTTTGTATGAAGCAAAAATACAAATAACATCTCTCTTAAAGGATGACATGGGATACCAAATGATGATGTTCATAGAGAATGCATAGTAGGTGGCTCAAGAGACTGTAAGTCACAGAAATTCATCTTCTCATCCAAAAGACTTTCTCTTTTGTTCTACCTGCATATACATTGCTAAGTGAGACATTTCATCCTATCCTACAAGGGCCACCCATCACTGTCTTATTTATCATTTGCCCCATAGGAAGTCCCCAAATCACTCTGAAATACATCAAGCATAACATTATCCCCAAATCACTCCCAAATACATCAAGCATAACATAATCCCAGTCACTGGGGACCAGAAATCCTGAAGAGTTCTACAAGGTTTAAATACATTCAAATTATTTTGTGTCAAGATGATGAGAGGATGAATCAGAGTACATTCATTACATGCTTGCACGTTTGTGTGTGTGACTGAAGAAAGCTTCTATTCTTTATGTATGATCCTCCCTGTGGGATTGCACATGAACTGGTGGCCAATGAATGAGTAATGAGAGAGAGGTGGTGAGGGAGAGAGAAAGGAAGAGGAAAGGAGATAGAAAAAAACAGAAAGACAATGGGTTTTATAGTCCAGTCTTGGAAGTGACAAACATTATTTCTACTCTAGTCTTCCATTTGCACAAACTCATTGTGGTTTACTATGGGGAAATATTCACAAACAAGTATAGGTATTGGTAAGAAGGAATCATACTTGGTTAATGTGATGGTTTGACTAGGTATGGTCCCCATAGACTCATGAATTTGAATGTTTGACCCACAGAGAGTGGCACAATTAGGAGATGTGGCATTGTTGAAGTAGATGTGGCCTTGTTAGAGGAAGTGTATCACTGTGGAGGCAGGCTTTGAGGTCTTATATGTTCAAGTCATGACAAGTGTGGAACACAGTTCACTTCCTGTTGTCTGTGGATCAAGATGTAGAACTCTCAGCTACCTCTCCAGCACCATGTCTGCCTACATACCATATATCATGCCATGATGATAATGAACTA